ACACTGGTTCCCATGGTGAAGATGAGGAAACTGCGTCACTCGGCTGAGGCAGAGTATGGAGTAAGTGTGTCTGTGATGAGGACTTTGAAAGCAAAGAACAGAATGCAATGAGTGAGAACAAGGGAGTCCTTCTTTAGATAGACCAATGAGGGACAGTCCCCCTGAGAAGGAGTCATTTGAGCTGAGACCTGAAGAAATCAGCCAAGTTGAGAGGGGAGCCCTAGCCCATGTCACTCAGTGGGTAGAGCATCAGCCCGTGCACCAAATGATCCTGGGTTTGATTCCTAGTCAAGGGCACGTACCTGGGTTGCAGGTTCAATCCCTGGTCCAGGTCAGATGCATGTAGAAGGCAACCAATTGATGTGTCTCTCTCATATCGATGTTTCTCTCTCTTGCTCTCTCTCTCTCCCTCTCTCCCTCCCTCCCTCCTTTCCACTCTCTCTAAAAAAAGAAATGGAGAAAAATATCCTCAGATGAGGATTAACCTAGGGAGGGAGGGAGGGAGGGAGGGAGGGAGGGAGGGAGGGAGGGAGGGAGAGAGAGAGAAAGAGAGAGAGGAATTCCAACGGAATATGCAAAGGTCCTGAGCAAGGAGAGAATCTGACATGTGTCCAAGGAACTAAAAATGGCCAGTGTGTGTGCAGCATTTTGAGAGAGAAGAAAGGGGGCTCAGAGAAGACACTAGATCATACAGGACCATGCAGGCCACAGCCAGGAGTTCAGATTTCATCCTATGTGACCAAGGAAGCCACCAGAGGGATAAATGCCCAAAATGACATGGTCTGATTTACCCAGGGTCTAACATGGAGCTTGTCACACAGAAGCAGTTCAGTGAAAGGTGATGGACCATCTGAATACATAGATTCAAGCTCGATTTCCAAAGCGATGAAACTTCTGGCTTTACAGAAGAAAAAGTAAGACTTCAGCCTGTGCCCATGGGAAGAACAAACAATTTCGTCTAATCCAAATTCACTTTCATGCCTCTCTGCCTAAGAAGCATGGGGCGCCGCTGAAATCCACAGGCACATCACGACAGAACAATTTCAGTGATCGTTATCAAATGCCTCTACTTAGACAAGCTCCAAAGATTGTATTAGCACAATCCAATATTTATGAAATGACAGTCTGCCGTAATGAGGGGATGAGAAAATTAAGATCAGAAGCCAGAGTTGTCCCTTTGGGGAGAGGCAGTGGCACGGTGACAAAGGCAGCAACGTCACTGGGCTTCTCAGAGCCTTGATTTTCTGATCTGTAAAATGGAAGGACTGCCAAAACCGGTTTGGCTCAGTGGATAGAGCATCGGCTTGCGGACTGAAAGGTCCCAGGTTCGATTCCGGTCAAGGGCATGTACCTGGGTTGCGGGCACATCCCCACTAGGAGATCTGCAGGAGGTACCTGATCGATGTTTCTCTCTCATTGATGTTTCTAACTCTCTATCTCTCTCCCTTCCTCTCTGTAAAAAATCAATAAAATATATTTTAAAAAAATGGAAGAATGGCAGGAAAGACTAAAACTGTGTGGTCAGTTCACAGAAGGCTAATGGTGTTTAATAATGTTTATCATTCAATCCTTCATTTAAAACTATGTGATAGAGACGCTTTGCCCAACTATAGGCATCCATGTAACAAAAATGTTATTTCATACATACTATGTATGATGCGCTGTATTAAGCACTGGAGATAAAGCTGCAGACAAGATTGTCATGGTCCTTATTCACGTGGAACTTCTCATCTGGGGGTAAAACATACACTGAACCAATAGCATCCTCAGGGGTGGGTGTTACTGAGAAAGAGAGCGGGGGCGATGGGAAACGTACAGAGGGCTGACCCAGACGGGGGCACCCAGGGAGAACTACCACAAGGAAGTGATGTCGAAGCTGAGGTGTGAAGGGAAAGGACAAGAGCATGGAGAGAAAAAGGTTCTGTGAAGAGTGCTGTTCTCAAGTAAGTTTCTGAGGTAGAAAAGAGCATGGAACATTCCGGAAACTGACAGAAGTCAGTGTGAAGTGAGCACAGGGGGCAATGGCAGATGGTGCAGCTGGAGGAATGGGCAGGACCAGTCATCCCGGACTTGGAGGCCACCATAGGCCTTGGTGTTCTTCCTCAGGACAATCCAAAGCTTCAGAAAGATTCTAAGCAAACAGGTGGGGACAATAAAGGGAAGAAGTAACATGAACAGGTCCATATTCTAGGACAATCTCTTTGGCTTTTGTGTGGAGAGAAGATTTAAATAAAAGAGGAAGCCAAGAAACCTGTTAGAAAACCTTCGTTTCCCAGGGAAGAGTTTATGGTGTGTGCACCAGGGCAGTGGTGGCAGAGGTGAAGAGATGCAAGCACACTTGATATGTGCTCAGGAGGCCAAGTGGCAGAACCAAGTGACTGGCAGGAAGAGGGGATGAAGAGAGGGAAGAGAGGAGTATGAGCCCTAGGCTTCGAATCAGCACCAGAATGGACCAAGTGGCCTTTCCTGAGACAAGGAACTAGAGGAAGGGTCCTCAAACTACGGCCTGCAGGCCACATGCGGCCCACCGAAAACATTTATCCGGCCCGCCGGGTGTTTTTTGCCGCCGCTGCCTGTCCTGCTTAGCAGCCGACTCGTCCCGGGCCCGCAGTGCGCATGTGTGGAATGTCTGAGGGACAGTGAACTGGCCCCTGTTTAAAAAGTTTGAGGACCTCTGAACTAGAGAGTGAGTAGATGAGGAAGGACAATGGATGAGTCAAGAGTTCAGTGTTGGAGATGTTGAGTTTGGAGAGCCTACAAGAGCCTATGGGGCTCCGGGTGGGCTAACAAAGAGCAGAAGGAGCATGTAAACACACACACACACACACACACACACGCTATAAGATCTAGATTTATTGGCCAACATCAAGGACAGCCACACAGAGCAGAGCAGACGTGGTATTTTTCAGCACAGGTTCTCTGGATTATTGGGATCCCTAATGGAATGAGTATTTCTAGCATTTAAACCAAGACACTTTTAAAAAATATATATTTTATTGATTTTTTACAGCGAGGAAGGGAGAGGGATAGAGAGTTAGAAACATTGATGAGAGAGAAACATCGATCAGCTGCCTCCTGCACACCCCCTACTGGGGATGTGCCCGCAACCAAGGTACATGCCTTTGACCGGAATCGAACCTGGAACCCTTCAGTCCACAGGCTGGCACTCTATCTACTGAGCCAAACCGGTTAGGGCCAAGACACTTTTGAGAGTAAAAATTGTAATGGGGCAACAGGCAGAGAGGTTGTCCTATGGTCACTGTACTAATGGGCATGTGTAGTTGTTGGTGACTCTGCTTATGCAAAGTGAAGATCCCACCAGATCTGAAAGGCTCAATTTTGTAGCACAGCACATCTTCATTATACGTGGGGCTCATGTCTACACTCAGAAGAAACTTATCAAAACAATTTACACCCATAGTAGGAACTATACTGAGCCATCCAGTAGCTTCCTGCTTTGGAGCAAAACTTAAAGTCAATGCGGCCACAAAGACCATAACCTCCCCTAGACATATCTGAGCACCTTCTCTGTCCTCAGATAAGTGACACCCTGGAAGATCCCTCCCCCGAGAATCCGCTAAGGCATGCACAGTGGATTGTGTAAATGCAGAGTTCAGAAGAGATGTCTGATGTGACTGAAGCCACAGGCATGGTTGAGGTCACCCATGGTGGGATGGTTTATTTTGTGTCAACTTGACTGAGCTAAGGGATACACAAACAGCTGGTACAACATTATTTCTGGGTGTTCTGTGAGAATGTCTCTAGAAGCGATTCCCATTGAACTGGTGAACTCAGTACAGCAGACAGTCCTCCCCAATGTGGGTGGGTATCAGCCAATCCCTTGGGGGCCCCAACAGAACCAAAAGGCAATGGAAGGGTGAATTTGTTCTTTCTCGGCTTGAGCTGAGACATCTATCTTCTTCTTCCCTTGGACACTGGTGCTCTGGTTCTCAGGCTTTCGGACTCAGACCAGGGCTCATACCCTCCCACCACCAGCTTTGCTGATTCTCCAGCTTACAGAGTGCAGATCATGGACCTCTCAGGGGGCTTCTCCATAACCGTGTGAGCCAATCCCTATAATAGATCTCCTCTTATATGTTTGTCCCTATATATCCTATGGCTTCTATTTCTCTGGAGAACCCTAAGACACATGAAAAGGATGTAAATGAGCCTGAAGAACCCCAATTTTAATGGCCAGAGTGAGCTGACCAAGGAGCCTGAGAAAGAGCGCCGAGAGGGTTGCTTAAAAGCCAAGACAGTGTAGGGGTTAGAGAGAGCTCTTGGTCACAGAGGAAGAGTGGAAGATGGCCTCCCTTATCCAACAATCAGCTATCCTGATAACTGCAGCAGGGATCACACTTCACAGAAAGGTGATCTTAATGTTCTCGGAGCTGTAATTCTTCCAGGCTTACCATATCAACTCACCGAGGCACACCCTACCCTAAGCACACCTCTTCCAGGTGAACGCCCCCCTCCAACACATCTCATAAGCCTGACTCATGCAGATCTCCATCAAGGGTGCACATTATGGTTTCAGCCCGTTGGTTAAGCATAAACGTGGTATTTAGGATCTCTGGACATTAACTTCATGAGCAATATTTTCACTGTGGAAGTTTCCCTACATACATAGAAGCTGTGTCTGTGTGGCCTGAAAGGAAAAACATGACCTCAGATTCTTCAGAAGCTCTTTCTTCCCTAGAAATGCCACTCTTATCAGGCTCCCAAGCAAAAGTGTGATGCTCTACGTGGAGCTAAAGATCAGAATATCAAAGCTAAAAGAAACCCTAAAGGTTCCTGCATCCAGGCAGCATGTGACTCTTACCACATTCTTAAGAGTTCACTCAGCCTTGTTTTGCATACCTCTGAGAATGGGGAACTTACTACCAACAAAGTTGTGTATGGCCCTCTCAGACAACTTAACCCATCAGAAAGTTCTTTCCCATGAGTCATCATAGAAGATGCCAGCCTCATCACAGGCCCAAACACAGTGGCTCACCTACCTGTGGGCACAGCTGGGTCCAGCATTGGTTTCTCCCACGTGTTAATCTGCTCCCAGGTAAATCCATTGGTCCCCAGGGCCACGCTATAACCACAGTTGCTGTAGTGCTCATCAAAGGAACAGCCGCCTGCAAACAAAAGAGATATGGGTAAATACATCCTCGTGTCTGGGGCTTGGTTCGTTACTCCTGTCTCATCATTTACACCTTTGAATTTTAAACTCTGGAGAAGATTAAAAATAAGGGCAAGCAAATTGGATTTTTATATTTGCTTTGGTGCTCTCAGGAAAGGCGCTGGCATCTGCAGGTCCCCCCTATGTTAAAAAGTTAATAAGGCTAGCTACATTGATTTTAATCTTCCTTCCTGAGAAAGTAAACAGCGACGTCTCATTCTAAGCAGGAAGAAATGAATGCCGGGCCATGCCTCGGTAGCTGCTTCCTGCAGCACAGAGAGATGCTGCGAGGCAGCAGAGAGCACAGCTTCGGAGTCCCGCAAAACCAGGCCCGATCTGATCTTTGCAAAGCTGCGTCCGCCCGGGCCGGGGGCTTCAGCCGTCTGTCTAATCAGTACCTCAGTTTCTCCACCTGTGATATGGAGGGAAAGCTCCACCTGACAGAAGTATCATGAGGATGAAATGGAGTAACATATGAAAAGTAACCGGCATAGAATAAGTTCTCAACATCCGCCTCCACCCCTCTAAAAGCGGTTTTTGAAATATCATTTTCATAAAGTAAAAATCAAATATGTGAAGCATTAGATAAGCATGCGCCTGGCAGATAATACAGTTGATGTTGACAGTGTTTAAAGCTTTCCCCTTTAAAATCTAAGCCATCTACCATTTTACAACAAGCTGTATCAACTCAATTTTGACAAGAATTTACTCTGAGCACATGCTATGTGTTGTAAGCCCCTCCAGGTAACACTGGAAATGCTGGTCTGTCCAGAGAAACAGGAGCCACAATATCCAGGAGGAGGTGCACTGATCAGGGCTGTGAAGGAGGCGAGCATCCAGGGATGGGGAACAGGAGGAAGGACAGTGCAGGTGAGCGAGAGGATACAGAGACAGAGGCCACGCCTAGACTGAGGTCTGCAGCCTCTGATGGTCTCCCAGACCCAGTTTCATGCCCCCCCCCAACCCCCAGTCCATCTTCCAACTGCCCCTTTCTTGTCTCCTTAGGGTTCAGATCGCATCACATCCCCATAAACACCCACTGGGTCCATGTCACACATCCAAGCCAGGTTCTGCTCGACTTAAAGAAACCAGTCCCCATGAGCCCCCGCCTGCATCTGCATTCTCAGGTACCATCACCATCGTCTTCATCAGCTGCAGAGGACAAAACCCCTGCAATGTACCCCACACCTGGGATTCCCTCTACATAGTGGTGGTGGGAGTCCTGTCGACAGATTCAATACAGAATCTGGTCACAGCACCGCAGAAGGACACCTGGGAGGTCAAAGCTTTCTTCACCTCCCTTCCCTGCTGTGCATGGGAACCCGGAAGATGGGCCTTTGGCACCCCAGTGAGTCGCGGGCTGGGCAAAGGAAGGCTTACCCTCTTTCACTAGCACCGTGTTTGGGAAGTGAGTTGAGTATGAAATTGCTTTGTACTAAAAAGTAACAGAAATGTGGGGTGTTTTATGTAGACAGAGAGAGGAGAAAAGGAGAGGGGTCCAAGAAACACCATGGAAAGCAGAAACCTACAGAAGATGATGGCTAATGAGATTTTTTTCCCCTATGATGGGGAGTGGATGATACATTGATAGAAACTGAAATATCTACTTGCTCTGATTTGTTCATTCAATAATCTGACAATGACTTAATTGAGCACCCAGCATAGATCGGGCAGGGTACTAGCTCCTAGCTATATGGTGGTTTACTAAAGAGGCATGCTATTGCGATTTAACCAGACAGACAGCAAACAAGGAAACTAGTAAGTAATCACGCACTTCAGTACTTGCTAGGAAGGCTGCAGTGGGGTGGGTGGGAGACTGCTGAGTCGGGATGGTCCAGAAGGCCTGTCTGACCATGAACTGGAAACAGTTCCCTGTTCTGTTCTGTGACAGCCCTCCACGACTCCCCGCTCCTCCACGAGACCGGGCAGCCACATGCGCTGGTGCTTTGGGGAACTGAGCGAATTAGGACAATGGCCAGTGCAGACTAACAGGAGTCAGGAGGCAAGGATGGGAGGCCCAGGAGGCCAGAGGAAAGGCGAGGAAAAGATGACAGAGGAGGCTTCGCCCCTGATACAGTGGGGAAGGATGACCTTTGAAAGGCAAGAAGGGAGTTAATCAACCCGCTTCCACTAGACCAGTGGTTCTCAACCTTCTGGCCCTTTAAACACGGTTCCTCATGTTGTGACCCAATCATAAAATTATTTTAGTTGCTACTTCATAACTGTAATGTTGCTACTGTTATGAATCGTAATGTAAATATCTGATATGCAGGATGGTCTTAGGCGACCCCTGTGAAAGGGTCGTTCGACCACCAAAGGGGTCACGACCCACAGGTTGAGAACCGCTGCACTAGACAGTAAAGTGGAAATGGTGCTGGCACAGAGTAGGCGCTTAATAAACATTGAATGGATGAACCAATACATGTTAGTGGGATGCCTGACACAGGCCAGCTACACGGGAGGAACCGGGAGCCCATGCCAGTCCCCCAGCTCCAGCTACTCTTCCAAGTCTCGTACCTGCCCCTTGTACCTAGAAAGCTCCTTCCCCACACTGCAGGCCTGAAAAATCCCAAAAGATCCTCCCAAGTCTCTCCTAGAAACCTTCTCTGACCAGAACAGCAGACTGAATGCCTCAGATATGGAAACACAACACGCTGCATCTACAATGTAAAACACTCAGCGGCTGCAGTGGCTCTAAGAGGTCACCCTCCTTTCCCTAAATCGCCACTGCTCACTGGAGCCGGCCTGCGGAAGACAAATGAATCAGGTCAACAGCATCGACAGCACACCGGGCTCCCTGGAATTGATAAGCAGGGGCAGTCTGCAGCATCCCTAGTGTTCCTGGGAATTGCTGACTGAGAATCAATCCCAAGCTAAAAACAGCCTCTGGGGCTAGCGACAGAAGGTGGCCGAGACAATGGCCTGTGTACATCATGCTGTTTAGGTCTTCTTTCTAATGCACACAAGGACACCATGTTTCCAGGCCACCTTGCATCTGGGGAAGACCACGTGATAAGCCCTAGAAATGTGTAACAAAGGGATATCCACTGTTTGTAGGACTAGCCCATAAAAAGCCTCCCTTTTCATCTTCACAGTTATTGTTGAAGGTGGTGGCATCAAAGGAAGAAAGCTATCTAGACCCCTGAGATGCTCATTAGAGGACAGCCACCCAGAGAGTCACTGAAGCAGTAATATTGGCATTCCGCTTTTCAAGAGCAAAATACCAGCTTTTCTTGTCTTACACCACTGACATCTTAGTGGTTAGCTGTTACCACAGCAGAGCCTTGCCCATCCTGACTAACAGAAGAAACATGCTCTCTCGTGCATTTGCTCCATGCCAGGGGATACACAAGGCACTGGTTGCACATGCCGTCTTATTTGCTCTCACTTAATTCTCACAACTTTATTTTATCCCTCCTTTAAATAAGGTAATTGATGCATTGAGGAGTTAGGTGACCTGTTCAAGTCACACAGAAGGAATGTGTTGGAGCCAGGTTTAAATCCATTGCAACTTAACCACAGAATCCATGCTCTCTCTAATGGACCAGAGAGAGAATGTACTCCCCCAGACCAAGGGCCAAATCTTTCACTTATAAGGTGATGAGAGGAGAGCAGAAAGATAAAGAACTTCCAAAGTGGTTGGTCTCTCCCATTTGAATCCATTTCCTTGCTTATTCTAGAAACACTTAACAAAGGGGCACAGAATCAACAGATATGATTCTTACCCTCATAAAGTTTGCAAAGTATAGAGGAAGACAACCAACATACACTTAAGATACAATGCAGAAAACACCTTCACAGAGATATATCAATTCTCAAAGAAGAAGTTATTAATAACTTTTTGTCAATGGTCTAATTAAACCAGTTCTCTGCCTCTTCTAGACAATATTTAGGAGGACTCACAGTTATACCTCTGGGCCCAGCTTACAGGCCCCAAGCAAGGTCACATTAACCATTTGTCCATAGTCTACTGGACCAGTTGCCCACCCCTCACCTCCTGGCCTCTGCCAATGGTGGGTGGCCTGCTCAGCTAACCCTGAGCTGAGAGTGGATTGGTCCTAGCCCTCTAAGGGGACCTATCACAGCCACCTTTCACAGCACACCCTGGGCACCTTGCTGCCTCCACCCACAGAGCTCCCGGGGTCACTTCAACCTCAGCCAGTGAGCAGACGCCTTTTTCTCTAACAGCCTGCTCTTTCACACCAGTCCCACAGCAGCGGGCCTGGGACCCCTACTTCCAGACCACAGTCCTCTTTTTCCCCCCTCCAAGGAGCAGGCTTACAGTGGAGTCCAAAGCAGCCTCTCACCCTATTTGAGTTATTCTTTCTTTAGGACACTCAGGGCCACCTGTGGGTTCTATCCCACTCTGTCACAATCTGCCATCCCTCAGGGGTCCTCGGTGTCCCTCCCCACAGAAGAATATCTAGAAACAGGTCCCCGTCCTGCACGTTATCACATATATATGTCCAAACTCCTGGGGTAACACAGGTTCACGACTTTTCCCTGGAACTCCTGGGCTCCCAACAGAGCAAGATAGAATTAAATGACCATGTAAGCATCCCCGTGTTTTGTGTAGATGAAGAACATAGATGCCATTCAAAGCATGTTGCCTAACTGGTCTACCCATTATCAACTCCCGTCCACCCAAGGTGGCCTGATAAACACAGAAGCATGGTGGCAAAAAGCAAACCGAGGCCTGGAAAACAAAGACAAGCAGGGCAGAAGGGAAGAGTTGCAACTCCGTGCCGCCATTTCCTGTATGTCCACCTGCTGAAAGGCGGTTACAGATTGAGCTCTGAGCTTCTGATGCCCCCTGCAAAAAGTGGGGGGGAGGTAATTTTCAGAGACTGGACACTGTGTTCATAAAATAAAACCCAAATTGATCAGGAAAATTACAACCATCCCAGGTGTTTA